GTAGGTAAAATACCCTTACCAGAGTGTTGAATAGGAATTGAAGATCCATTACCAACCATGATATGATCATAGCCTTGATATAGCTAATAAACACTCAAATTGTTCAAGTCATTTGTGATATGGTCAGTTGTTGTAGAATCCACATACCAAGGACTTAATAAAGATGAAAGCTGAGATGATGATGTAGGAGACGTAGGTGTGGCAACCACAAAATCCCTAGAAGACGGGGTTGAAGAACTGGATAGATAATTTGGAGATTGAAACTAATTTGAGAATGACTGTGATGAAGTTGATTGATAACTTGTATCCATTCGATACCAACAGTCCAAAGAAATATGATTATATCCACCAAAAATCTGACACATAGAACTAGTATAAGAAGATCAACCTCTACCTCTAAAATGAGAACTACCTTGAAAACCAAAAGATCTACCTTCACGTCGAAATACTTTATAGAAATTTCTACCGTTGTTAGAAAATTCTCTAAAATTTCCAGAAGAACCACAAGAAGCTGTTAAGCAACTCTTGGTTCATGAGATAGTATTTTCATACCTTTGGCTTTAACATGAAGAGCCTCGGAACAGAGTAAAGAAGACAATTCTTCTATAATGATAAACACTGCTCTAGCTCATATGGTAGTCTCAAACGCATCATAATCATCCTGCAAGCCATTCAATACAAGAAAAACAAGATCTTCATTACAAATAGTAGAGGAGGCAAGAGCCAATTGATTGGCTATATCTTGAATATGACGAAAATAATCCTTCATAGAAGCAGATTTCGTCATAATTGTGTTTAACTTGTTCTTCAACTAATGAATATGAGATCGAGAAAGTGATATAAAACGCTTATTGAGAGTATGCCATACCTCTGAGCAATGTTTGAGATGAAGAACAGATAGAAATATAGAAGAAGACAGAGTTACAGTGATGCAACTGAGTAAAGTTGTGTCAATCTTCCTCCAAATTTCAAAAGCTAGATTAGAAACCACTTGTCTAGAAGAATCCTTAATCAACAATGGAGGACACAAGGTAAATCCATCGATATTGTAATGCCCCGAAATAATTACTATAACCCATGCTCGGCATTAATAAGTGATCATAATGACAGTTGTTATCTTTCATTGATTTACAATTAAGATATTAGAAAGGCAAGATGAAAGTTAGACAAATATGAAATGCCCTCAAGGCTTACATCTTGCCAAGACGATGCTTGGTTACAACAAAAGTAGAGTTAAGTCCAATACAGTTAAAACCCTTGGCTTGTACAAAAATAAATATAGCAAAGACACAAACAAAGCTCTCGCTCCAAGTCCTCCCAAGCTATTGCCTTGGCGGAGGCATATCATCAGTACCTAAAATGTTTTTCCCACCATATAGGGTAAGTCAAAGCCTAGTCGAAATAATCTATCACAGTGTATGAATCTTAACAAAGAATAAGGTGAATGCATATGTAATGCTAGTGCCAAAACGTTTCTATATCTCTTTCGGAAACTATGCAATGCCATAATAATATCATAAATCACTTCCTTTGGAATAAAAAGATAGGGCAATGAATCACGCTCTGGGAATATCAAAACAATATAGCCTTTCCTAGAAATTTCGTTCGAAGGAAACTGTAAATCAGGACCCATGTAAACGTAGGCTATACAAGCACTACTATTGCCATTTCACAAAAAAATTCGTCTGCAGGATCGGCACCCATATATACACGCGGTTTTTAGGACTTTCACCATAGACACTTAGGTTAACTTAATTCAACATCACAATACATATGTTTCTCAGATTCACCCATTTTTCTCAAAACGATAAACATTTCCAATGTATAAGTGTGCGATAATGCTCAATGCAAATGAATGAGAAAATAGTTTAAATTCTCCTAATTCACATGCAATTTCTACAACACTCACAGATATCCTCCACCGATAGCCCAAAACAAATACTTCTAAACAGATAAATAGTTTTCAATAAAGATAAACTCTTCAAATTTTCCAGAGGTGAGTGATAATACATATCTAACTCCACCATCCTTATCGACCTCAACCCAATTTCATAATTTCAATATCAATCTCATAATTTATATAAAATCAACGTTTGTGGCCTTTAGGTCAAAATTCATTTTCTCTCCAAAATCAATCCCAAATATCAAAATCAACCATTTATTCCCAACTTAACATTATTTTCCATATCAAAATCATTTTTAGAGATCCATTTGAAAAATCCCTCTTTTGATTTTTACCCAAAACCCTAGATTCGTTCCAAATCTTCCAAAATCGCAATATGGTTTAGAAATAATAAATAACTAAGTTAAAACTCATACAAAAGTGTGGAAAGTATCTCTAGCTCAAGCTTAGTAGACAAGAGAGAAAGAGAGGGAAGTGTTGGAAACTCAAAGACGTCAAAAATCAACTTTGCTCCGATTAGAACGCAGCCCTGGCCAAGCTCTACTTTTTTGACAAAGGCACACGGGTGAAAAAATCGATGGATCTGGTTGATTTGTAAAGAGAATGTGAGTTTTAGAGAGAGAAAGAGTCTCAACTTAGGATTTTGAAATATTTAGAGAGACAGAGAAATGAAAAAATAATGTAAAAAGTGACTTTTACGGACTAATATACGCACAAATCGCTCGAGCACAAGAAGTTTTGTTCAAGCGTCTAGACACAAAAGATGTGACCGCTCGAGCGCAAAATGTTTTGCTCGAGGGTAAAATACATACTCCTAATAGTTTTGCAGGCATGCGAAAGTAATGAGAGTTCACAAAGACCGCTCGAGCGCAAGAGACTTCGCTTAAGTGTAAGAGTCAAAATCTGGACAACAACAATTTTGAAAAACTAACTCCCAACCTGTTCCAAACACAGCCCTGACACTCCAATGACCAAACTCAAAGAGTAAAATGAGAAACAAGACTTGAACAACATATAAGACAATGAAACCCAAATCCAGAACATCAAATGGGTTGGGTCTAAACCAAAATCGCTAAAGACATACCTTATCAGATCAATAGCATGAAGAATATTTTCTAACTGACCCCTTCATATATAGAAATTGATGGAGTCAAGCTTCATAGTAACAAAGGAAATGAGATTGGATATGAAATGATTCAAGCTTGGTCGGAGATCTACAGGATTCGCCATTGTAGGTCCCTTAAGATCCTTGCCCGTGAGAACTTCAAACGTGCTCTGATACCATGCGAAAAGTAAAAAAATCTTATTCAATCTCAATTCAATAGAATATTTCAATTACATCCACTATATATATACAAGCTAAGGGAATTTGTTTTTGCAGTTGTAACAACTTCTAACTAACTAACAACTTACCCTTGAGTTGATCCTCTACATGATGGCTTATGATACTGCAGCTGTGGGTGAGCATCACCTTCAGTCTTTTGACGATTGTAACTGTAACTGCTTGAGTTGCTTATCAAGTGCTCCTATTCAAGTCCTATGCAGAAACAAGAGAATGTATTCAGTGGTTTGGTTGTTATCTGGGTGTCTTGTTTTTTGTTGTTCTCTGGCTCCTCTGTGATCAAAGGTTTTTGGGCTATTTAATCTGGTTTGATCTATGATTGCTGCGTGAATGATCAGAGGTGATGCTGATTGATAATGTTAATCCCCGCAGTATTCATACTGGTGTTTGAACTTTGGTTTCTGTACAAAGATGTCTTCGGGGCAGCATAGTCTTGGTTTTGGTTTCGTTATGTTGTTTTTTTTTTTTTTTTTTTCCTGTTTGTTGGTTTCTCACCAACTAGGAGGTTGAAGCTTATTCTAGCCCCAAGTTCCTCTTTATTGATGTCTTCCATTGTACTTTGTACGTGCATCAACAATAAAAAAAAATTTGCCGATCAAAAAATATATATATATATATATATATGCAACATTACCTTTATTTTCAGAGAATCTATTTTCATGACCTAAGCTCACTTATTTTGTTCTTTCTTTTAAAACTTCTAGAATTAGAAAATACTGCTTTCTCAATTTTTAATATTTTTTTTTTAGTTCTAAATATGGGTTCAAAAAAGGATGCATATTTTCGAGAAAAACTGAAAGAAAGTTCAAGTTGTATTATTTTATTGTATGTTATGCAATCGCCCTTGGATTAATTTTACCAAACTTTTTATGATATTTATTTCATGATGCGTAACATTACTCTAAAAATAAAACAATTAAAGTTATGAATAATATTAGGCATCATGAAAGAAATATCATGAAATACTTTATGAAGATTTTTCATCCGTTAATTAGTATGTGGTGTTTTATTGTATGTGTAATTCAAGGGTGGAGAATTTTTATGAAACTTTCATGATATTTCTTTTATGATGCCTAATATTACATATTAACTCAAAATTTTTGTCATGAATTTTACTTCAAATTGAAAGGGAAATTCTATGATACACAGCCTCTTTGGAGGTGAACTCTATGCACTCTTAGTTATAATTGTATTGTTAGTTATGACTGATTGTGATATCGGTTATGATATTATTTTAGTTATGATTCAATAATTCTTTATTATACGTGATGCGATGTTTCGTTATAACTCTTTTTTCTTCTTCTTTTTTTCCTTCTTTAGTTATAACTCTCATAATATTGAGTTCTGTTATTTGTAATAATTCACAAATAGCATAACTTGCATATGATACACACCTTACCATAGCATTTCCCAAATTAAAAAGAGTGATTATGATTCAATTAATATGTTGTGAGTATACAATGAATTTGGATTATATATACATTGAAAATTCTAAATAAAATTTCTGAATTTATATTATTACTAAAAACAAAAATCATCTCACTAAGTAGTTTGACCGTTGAGCAAATCCACCTTTTTATCTACACAATTATGCATAGATTAAGTCCTCATTTGAAAATTCAATATTTTAATCTAAAAGATACAAAATTACTAAAAAAATTAAAAAGTCAACAACTTATATAAAAAAGTCAAATATTCTCTTTTCTCTTTACTTTTTGTACATCTTTTTGTAAAAAATCTAAAAATCATTGCAAATATACTAATTTTTTTTTATCACATATTAACTAAAAAAGCTAAAAAATTATTAAAATAATTTGTTCTCAAACAATAGCTAAGTATGGACCATCTCCACGGTTGATCATAGCATTTGCAACATACATGGCTATACATATGCCTATCTAAATATATATTTATAAAACTCAAACCTATTTAATTAAAAAGCTACTTGTTTTAGCATGCTTTGGTTTTTCCTAATTGGCTACTTATTGAGCAAGGATTCTCTAAAGTGATTTTTTTTAAAAATTTTCTAAAGTGTTACATTGTGTGGTTGAGATTTACTGGCAAGTCACATCAATTTTTCTGATGTGACTTGCCAGTAAATCTCAATCACACAATGTAGCACTCTAAGAAACTTTAGAAAAATTTCACTCTAGAAGATTCTTGGTGCTACTTATTTGCATGACTGAGATAACAAAACACTTGCAGTTTCACTAATATTTGCTCTCTTTCTCTTTCTCTCCATGTCTCCTTCAACTTTCAATCTCACACCAAACAACTTTGGCCTATCATCTTCTTCTTCTTCTTCTTCGTCTTCTTCTTCTTTCTCCGATCTCGCATACATGGCCACTAGATCAATAAGCTCGGTACACTTCCTTTTCATGCCCGATAGCTCGGAGCTTAAGACCCCATTCTCTCTCTTGAGCCTTTTGTTCTCATCCATGAGGTTGCTATACCCCGATGATGATGAAGTTGATGATGACCGTTGATCTTCATCAGATTCTTTTGGCAGAGATTGGGTTGGTGGAGCTGGTTGTGATTGTGACTTGTTTGTCCATGCTTTCCTTCGACGAATTTCACATAACAGGTCTCTTTCGCCCTTTCGAAACATGTCATTGCAGAACTCCCACCGGCTTGTAGCCACCTTTCGGAACCCCTAGGGATCAATCATAATATTTATGTTAATATATAGCTCATGATTAATGGATCAAAATTTAGAAACTTCTTTTTTATGTATCAAAACTATTATATGCCATAATAATTTATGAAATGATATGAAACTTTAGAAGCTACTTTAAGGCATCAAAATCTGATTATTTTTTTTCTAGTACTACACAGAAGATAGTGAGGTTCATACTAATAAATACACTTCAGACCCACTATTATAGTGTCTGTGTTACACATACAGTTTGTATATCATGAGCATGGTAACTGCCTTATATTTGTTTTCATCATTTTCTAAATTAAGATAATTATAGAAACAGTAAGCTCAAGATCTCATAAAACATAATAGGCTAAATTTAATTTACAATTCAATATAATGGTTTTTCATTTTATTCTCTTTGCTTCTTTGTTTTCCTCTATCTCTTACAATAAATTAAAGCCTAATATAAGAAAAATAGAATAAATATGATTTATTGTTATTATGTGATACAACATCAAATATCTAATCAAGATATTGGTGAGCTTGTCATTGTTGAATTGTAAATTACTATTATGTCTAAAAGTTTAAGTTGTTAGATAGATTGACAGTTTTATTATTTATATCGTTAACACCACCTAGTCCAATTGTCAAACATTTGATATTGTACTTTACTATGTTACGGTTCAACTATCAATACCTCTTTTTCCTTCCAAGAGAATAAGTTACATATGATGTTCTTATACATGTACCCCAAAAAATAAAAAGCAGGTCCAGGTATAGATAATGAAGGATTATGAGGTGAGGCCACTCTTTTGGTAGTTGATGTATGTAATTCTGATGTTGATTGGTTTATTTGTTGTTTTGTTATATTGAAAGTGTGGTGGCTCTTCCTTATCCAATGTTCCACTCAAAGCCCAAGATCCATGATGAGGAGCCCACTTCAAAACCTCATGGAACCACAAACTTTGCATTATTTGGATTTCCAAAAATCTTATTAAACAAATCAAAACAATAATAAGGTTAACAATAAATAAACACTAAACTACAAGGTAGGTCTGAAAAAGATTGGTTAACCTTTTCATTCAACAAAACTGGGTTCAAAACTTGTTGACAAATGACTAATGAGATAATGATCAACCATATATATATAGAGTATGCTCATTCAATGAATGATGAAAAAAAATAATTAAAGAAGTTATAAAAAAATTAAAAATTAAAATCAAAATCAAAATCTGAGACAGCTGATACCTCACTACAAGAAAAGAAAAAACATTTTTTAACGAGAGAAAAGTTAGGGTTCATGAAAAAACTTTCATGCAAATAATCATGAAAGATTTATAACTTTTGGATTAGCTTGATTAATGTGTTGTGCTTTGTTTTAAGTGTAATCCAAGGGTCATAAATCTTTCATGATTATTTTCATGAATTTTTTTTCATGATACCTAGCATTGCTCTTTTAACAAAGACTTTCCGATAAAAGTCATATGACACAGAAAGCTTTTGGTGATGAATATTTTCGTCGTTAAATATGATTTTTCTAGTTTTCGATTTTAGGGGATATTGGATATATGGATTGTGATGGTAGTTTTAACATACATAAGTATTGAGCTGCCTGACAAAGCTAGAGAAGTTGCTGTGTTTGAAGAAAGTTGGGAGCAAATCTCTGGCAAACTCGGCCGGTTGCCACACCACGAAAGCCGTCCCCTCGGAGTTCCACGAGATGACTTGATCGGTCGTCGGATCCTCCACAAGCATGTAGGTTTTCAACAAGAAAGGTGGTGGTGAGGACTTCCTCAGTACATACTCAAACAAACCCTTTTCACATTCAACCTCCATCACAAAAAAATATCTAGAGAGAGAGAGAGGTGCACTGCAAAACTAACTAACTAACAAGAAGATGATCAGGAGGAAGAAGGGTGGTGGTGGTGATCACAAGGGGTAAAGAAGAGAAGAAGGGCAGTTAAGAACTCCCAACCCCAGCAATAGAAACCCAACACGACTCCACAGTGCATGAGAAATGCAAGAGCTTTGCCTTTTCTCTCTCTCTCTCTCTTGTGTGTGTTCAAAGAAAGAGAAATGGTCCGTTCAAAAAAAAAAAAAAGAAAGAGAAATGGTTGAAACGTATGTTGTAGGTTTGCCTCTTCTTTTATACTACTGTCAAACCGCACAAAGACCCATTTTATATTATATTGGTTTATTTTAAAAAATAAGTTAAAAGTTGATTTTTTTTTTATTTGTTAAAATATGAAATAAAATATCGAGATAATGTGACTTAAAAAATTAAAAAATTAATTTTTAACCAAATTTCAAAATAAGTTATTATATAATATTGTCTAAAATATGTATACATTAATTACCGGTTTCTAAAACATTACGTGTAAAATTGTGTATATCTTGTTTTAAAAAAATTTAAAAGGAGCCCCGTGTGCATTGTGAGTTGTCTTTTTTTACCAGTACATATCTGTATATGATTTTTTTTTTTTTTTTTGGATTCAAATCATATTTGTATATGATTTGAATGTAGAACTACTGGTATTACTCTGGAAAAACACAATACCAATTTCAGTTTTTTTTTTTTTTCTTCAAAGAATTAAGCAAGCAATTGTTAAGTCAAAGTCTAGGATTATTGGGTTTGACTAGCCATTTTATTTTCTTTGTACACATCTAACATGCAATTGCAAACAATGACATATTATCTCCACCGTACACGTGGCTTCTTGTGAGCTTTTGATGTCCTTTCAAACTAATGGTCAAGATCGATATTAATGAAGAGAGAAATATAAAAGTGACCTCGTTTCGGAAGTTGACTAATTTTGTAAGTTAAAATTTTTATATTTAAAAAGATAGTTCGATTTTTTTTATAATTAGATAAAATATTTGTGAGAGAAAAAGTAAAATGATTATAGATTTAATGTAACATTTTGTCTTATTAATTATTTTAATCTATTTTATTTTTTCTTTTTTCTTTTTTTTGAAAGATAGATTTTAACCTAAAAAAATTTAATTTTAATCTTTCCCAAACAAGGCCAATGACTGAAGAGAATAATTCTAGTTTTGTAATGGTTTGGTTGGAAATCAAACCCTTATTCCTCATTTGATTGAGGCGAGATATGACCATTTCATTTGCAATAAAATTATGAGGGGAATGGCTTTCTTCTGGTCCAATTACGGATTAGAAAATATTGTTAAGTTCATGGAGGCCTATTACAGGTCTCATTTTGATAATTTAAATCGTTTAATGTGTAGAACTCACCGATTACTATAAACCTATAAAAAAATCACGTTGATCAAATATCGATTGTTATGTAATCAAATTAAGTTTGTATGAAAAAAAAATGGATAGTGAAGAATAAACGATTTACAAAAATTTGATTTGATCACATAGCTATTGATATCCGATCAAAGTGATTTATTTTACACATTTAGTACTTGACGAGTTCTACACATTTAACGGTTCGGATTATCAAAACACAACCCATGGTGAGCCCCCACATGCCCAATAGTACTCTCTAGTCCGATCACGGGCTAGAGAGAAGCCATTCCCAATTATGAAAAATGTTATGTCAGCCCAAATAATCTATTAAATTTTTTACCAAATCTTTTAATTGATGTGGAACCCACATCATCCCACATATGTATAAGTCTTACACTCATATAAAAAAATTAATAAATTATTTAAAATTCCTAGCGTAGCTCTGAAATTATTACACATATCTGAACAATTTTCTTTCATAGGAGTATGGCAACTTATCCCAGGTAAAACTTTCCTGGCAAAAAGATACAGGTAACTTGCTCAAAATATGTTATCTTAGAGTAAAACATATGCGAATTTAACATGATGTTAAAAAATAGAAAAATTATATAGGCTTGGTTTGGGAAGTGGGTTAGTTTTTTAGCTTTTTGGCTTTTTTGGCTATTTTAGCCTGGGCTAAAAAACTTAGTTTGGGAAGGACTTTTTTGTTTTTGACTTTTTTGACTTTTTTTATGAGAGAAGAGTGTAATAATTATGGGTTGGATGTGATGTTTTGTTTGTTATGGCTAAAATAACCTATTTTATTTTTTGTGACTAAAATAGCCAAAAAAATCTCAAATCTTGCTTCCCAAACGGTGCCATAAAAGTTGTTTTTTTAGACCCACTCTCTAGACATATCATCTAGAAAATGGATTTAACTTTTAGGCCTAAATAACAATATTCTAAAAAAATATATATTAAAAAGAGGAATAATTAATGAAAAGACCACACTTATACAGTCATATGTTATTTAATTCAAGATTTATTTTTATTTTTTTTAATGATAAGGACACGCATTGGAAAACTAACTTGAAAAATCACCGACAGCCAACCATGATTGGTGACAATGAGGTAGAGAAATAGGTGAATAAATACATGACACTTGTATAGATAAGTAATATTTGAATATATATAAATAGCACGGGTACAAATAAATAATTTTTAAACAAATTGATAATATGTAAACAGATACACAAATGATAAGTTTGACATATAGATCTCCTTTTAAACAGGTTTACATCTTTTTTGTCCAAAAAAATTTAAGCATAAATTCAAAAATTTCAAAAATATATCTCTGATCGGAGTACCAAAAAAAGAAACAAAAATTATTCCTGATTAATGATTGAGATTGATAGGCATATAGGGACATATTTAGGGAATTGTCTCTCTCACTTTGGAATTATTTTTGCTAAAGGATAATAATTCTAAAATTCAAGTAGGTGAGGTGATACTTTCCATTCTTCTAGTTCCAACATCTAACGTGCAAATTCTTCCATCCAAATTTTCTCTCATAATATCAGAATCTAAGGCCCCGTTGGATTTTTTTGGAAAATAAGGGACTTTTTGACTTTGTGTGCTTTTCCTTGTCTAAAATTTGAAGAATAAGAAATGTGTAAGATACTACCAACAAGCCAGCGCGTGTTTTTCATGCTCCATTCCAATTTGTTTGGCCATGCTATTTTTATGCCTTATTTAGAAATATGTTATTTTAATATTTTTTTTAATTTTTTTTTTAAAAAAAATATGTAAAAAAATAGAGAGAATGATGTGACAATTTATAGTGACATTTTGATTTTTTACTAAAATATATAATTAACAAATGAGGCCTTAGCATACTTTTAATCCTTTTATCTAATTTTTAATTTATTCTAGAATTAATTAAATTTGAATAAATTACACTGAATTTTTCTGAGGTTATCAAATTATAGAAATCTCTCTTGAAGTTTCTGAAATGAAAAAAAATCTCTTTTGAGGTTTGGTTTTAAATTTATGTTGACTTTTTCTGAGATTTAATAAAGTTGCATACGCTTCTTGCGTCAGGATCCTCTAGAGTAAACTCTCTAGAGTGATCTCTTAAATTGAGAAAATCCAATGGTTGAAAATAATACTAACCAAAACGACGTCGTTTTGGTTAGTGAATTAAAAAAAAAAAATTGATTTCAAAATAAACAGAGTGCGAGAGAGAAGAAGAGAGAGAGAGGGGCTGCTCCTCCTTGTGGCCCGTCGCCCTGCCGCCGCTGACGTCCTTGATCTCCCTAATCCCAGAACAATACAGCATGAAAACTACCTAATCAACAATACCCACAACAAGGATCAATACAAATGTCGAAAGGATTCAATAAGAAGACACCCAATAAAATAAAATAAAACAAAACAAAAACCAAATTCAAACTACTTTCTAACCCAACTCACATCAAATCAAGAAAACAAAAGCTTAAATTTTTCTAATAATGGATGTCAACAAAGACTTAGAAAGATGAACTTCCCAGAAATAATGAAATCTGAAAATGGGGTTTTCGTCATCATCATCAGCAACTGTGATTGCAGACCCAAGCTTAAAATTTTCTAATAATGGATGTCAACAAAGACTGAGAAAGATCAAGAACTTACCAGAAATAATGAAATCTGAACGTGGGGTTCTTATCATCATCATCAGCTGTGATTGCAAACCCCCCATCCGCCATTCTTCAACCCATTTTCTCTCTCTAACCCAAACACTCTCCCTCTCTTCCTCTTTCTCGCACTCTGATTATTTTGCAATTAATTTTTTTTTTTAATTTACTAACCAAAACGACGTCGTTTTGATTAGTTTTAGTTTCAGCCATTGGATCTCCTCATTCTAGGAGATCACTCTAGGGTCTTACTTTAGAGGATCTTGACGCAAACTGCTTATGAAATTTTTGTAATGACAAAAACCTTTTTTGAGGTTTAGTTTTAAATTACACTAACTCTCATGAGATTTAATGAAATTGTAAAAATATTCTTTGAGGTTTCTGAAATGACAGAAACCTTTCTTAAGGTTTAATGTTGGATAAATTACACTAACCTCCCTTAAGATTTAACGAAATTGCAAAGATCTCTCATGAAGTTTCTGAAATGACAAAAACTTCTCTAGAGATTTTAGTTTTAAATTACACAGACTTCCTCTGAAATTTAATGAAATTGCATAAACCTTCCTTCATGTCTTGAAATAGCAAAAACCTCTCTTGAGGTTTATTTTTTTGTATCATATATTTCCCCTACTATTACTTTATCAAAAAAAGAAAAAAGAAAAATTGTTAACATCATCAAATAATTTAATTACATTTTCAATTTTATTCTTTAAAATTGTGTACAATTACAAAGAAATTTTCTTTTTAAAAAAAAATACAATTCCTATGTTCTTTCTTTGTTATGCGTATAGTTACTGTTGATTGCATGTGCATGCTATCCAAAACTCACCTGTTACCAGCTATATTGTAAATTGACTTCAAAAAATCTCGCACAATCTTCCATCGTAAACCCTACTTTATTTCACCATCTTTCTTTCTCCCAAGACTCTATGGCAACAACGACAACTTCATGCCTGTGATGCTTCCTCATTGCACCCTTTCTTCCGGCCAATGACAGCCTAGCCACCACCTAACTAGGGTTGTAAATGAACAGAATCATTCATAAATAGGCTTGAGTTCAGCTCAATAAGAGTTCATTCGAATTTGATTCGTTAAATTTTTTTTTTGCGTTCAAACTCTTTAAATTTTTAATAAACAAGTCCAAACATTTTAAAACTCGGCTTGTAAGCTCGACTCGTTTACTGACTTGTTTAATATTTATTAT